ATTGTGACCTATCAAGACAAAAAAATCAGAGTGTGAACCGGCGCTGGCCTTCAACCAAGAACTTTTACGATTATTTTATACTGTGTGGATAATCCAGCACCAGAGGTGTTGGCTCTGAATGTTACTAGAATACAGGCTAATCAGCAACAACATAATGACCACTTAATGTGAGAAACAGCCTAGAAGAGCTGCACTTCTGAAGGTTCCCGCCCCAGACTTTTAGCCAACTTATGCTTACTCGTCAATCCGAGTGACAAAACATAAACTTTGCTGCCTAAACTACGTATGTTACACAGTAACAGATCAGATGACGGTAGATGAGATCAGATGAGGTAATACTTAACTTATGATTGATGAGTACACTGATAATATTTAAAAAATGTCAACTAATTTAAGGCAAAAGCAAGTAACTTCAATACAAAATCACTACTTTAAGATATTCTGCTACTTTTTTCTTAATTTGTTGCATTTTTAATTGCTTTTTTCTTTCTTTCCTCTTAAGTAGTTCACTGGCTTGTTTTGCACTAATTACGATACACAAGTAAGAGAAAAGGCATTTTCACGGTTGAAATATTCCATTATTTGACCAATTGATTGTAGATAATCTCAATCCGCCTCTCTGCTCTTCTTCACTCATCAGTAACTCGGGGCTCTATTACACATTCCACCAGCAAATTGCAATTTTCTTTCACTCTTTTAGTGAGTTTAGTTGAGATAAGCCCAGATACACACTGTAAAACATAACACGTCACATTAATATAGTAAAGTAAATTATAGTGACTTTTTTTTATACTTTAATCCTAGTTTATCTTATGTATGAATTGTATTTTCCTGCTACAAGGAAAGACACAGAAATCAGAAATACAATTTGGCAGAAGACCAAAATCCCATTTCCCCAAAGGGCTTAACATTGTATCAAAAGAAAGTGTGTAACAAGAGTCTTAGTGCTACAGAGTCTGAGAAGGGTCAAAAGTCCTGAGGGTTTTATCGCTGAAAAAGTCTTATCTGACATTTGTCTCAGGGACAGGTTTCGGGGGAGATAATTGGAACAAACTCCTTTCTTTCCCTCTATCCGCCTCGTTCAGGTTGTTCTTTTTTCCTGGTCACCCGTCTGCACACGTGAACACACACACACACATATACATCACACATTTATCTTGACGCACAAAACGTGTGCCAAAGTTGGTCTGTAAGCTTTGCTTTCAAAGTCTCTCAGTATCTTATCTTTGAGTGAGGCGCCCACGGTTGGCATTTTTAAGATGACACATACGGAACACACACATATACACACACACACACTCACATAGACAACCAGGAGGTTACACAGCATCACTCACAATGGCCCACACACAGTCTGTGAATGCACGCAAGTGGGTGAATAGGGGAGCAGGTTTAGCTCAGGTTTTCTTCCTGTGAAAGAATGGTGTGTGTGTGTGTGTGTGTGTGTGTGTGTGTGTGTGTGTGTGTGTGTGCACTGGTGAGATTTTTTTTGTGTGTGTGTGTGTTATAAGGCTGGTGCAGGCGATGGTAAGTGCCGATTATGCAGTAATGTTAGGGTTGTCAGGAAGCCAGCAGGCAGCCTGGTTTTAGCCACAGCGGGTGGTGGCACCATGATCACCATTAAGCCAGCCTCGGTTTCAAACTGGGAAATTTGTCAGTTTGAAACAAAGAGTTGTTGTTTTTTTTTTTTACATTTCAATTTGGTTCTGAGTGACTGCAAAGAGCTTTTAATGTGTCAAGTAATTGCCAGTGTGAGCTGTTTTATAATTTGCGGGGGTTTGGGTCCAAAATGAAATCAATGTCTATAGTTAAGAGCCAAAGACACTGAAGGTATACTGTGACTGCAGAAACTATGAAGGATACTTGGAACCACGTGAACCATCAGAGCCAGGATGAATGACGAACAAACTGCTGGTGCAATTGTTCTGTTTGTTCAGGCGCCATATGTAAATTTAATAAAGCAGCAGCTTATTTCCCAGTTTTACAAACAAAGAATGTGAAAAAAAGTACCGAACTGTGTCTTAAACTTCGCAACTGTTGCAAAGATAAGGTATGTTTAGGGCAAGAAATATAAATCTGCGTCTCATCAATATAAAAGTCAAGCCATATATGTCCTAACAAAAGAGCACGAGCAGAACATGGATTACAATCTTCTTTGAAGCAATATATACATATGTATATATACGTGTATATATATATGTGTGTATATATATATACATAAATGTATGTATATACATATATACCTATATATATACACATATATACATATGTGTATATATACATATACTGTATGTATACATATATCTGTGCTCCCACACAGTCAATACATATGTTGTCATTTACACACGCTGTGGGTAAAAAAATGTCCTTGTAGATTGAAAATAACATCATACCAGATGACAAGTGGGTTTAATTCAAAGCTAGCCTGAAAT